GCCTCGCTTCTAAAACTATTCTTTCCCCTCAGTAATATCACCAATCTCTCTACCCTTAAATACTTTCCTCAGACCATTGACCCTTTTCTGACTTCACTTTCCTAGTTTTCCAATACTGGCCCAATAGTTAGTCCCCTATTCTACTCTGCTCCCATACCAGATCCTGCCTGACCAGCTTGACTACTCATACTACATGGATGAAATGGGAATCACTAGCTCTATTTCTTCACATAAAATGGAGGACCACTAGACCTTATCATCTATCCTGCATCTATGCCCTCCAGTTCACCAAGCATTGTCATTTAACATTAAAAAACCCTGTTCTAGGGGCAGCTAGGTGGCACAGTGGATAGAGCACCGGCCCTGAAGTCAGGAGGACTTGAGTTCAAATCTGACCTCAGACCAAACACTTGACACTTACTAGCTGTGTGACCCTGGGCAAGTCACTTAACCCCAATTGCCTGAAAAATACAACAACCCTGTTCTTTGCCATCTATCCCTCAGTTTCACCTTCAAAACTTCTGGGCCTTCCCAACTACATTGTAGCAGAACTCTTTCATGTGTCATTTCCAATTAGAATATGACGTTCTTGAAAACAAGATTGTGTCTTTATTTCCATTTGTGTTCCCTGCTCTTAGCACAGTTCTGAGCACAGACAATACATTTTGATCCATTTCTTCCCTCAGAATGTCCATTTTGACCATCTTCCACTATGAGGGAACTGATAGGAGCACATAAATTTCAACTTCTAAATCCTTTAATTAATTTCCAGTAGCTGAAGACTAAATAGGTCAGAAAAGATAACTTTAAATTCATAAAAGTTTAATATTTTAAGAGTTTTGAAACTCGGTTGGTTCATCTAATCCTTTAAAATGTAGTTATGAAGTAATTATTTTTTTTCTTATTTGTTCCAAATGCAATTAAAAATAACTATAACAACTAATATTTATTTAGGTAATCATATGTAAACACAATACTAGAATAGGGGCCAAGGGAAAGATACTAAGTTTAAATAACACAGTTCCTTTATTCAATATTTGTATATTCCACAAAACAATGGAATAGAAATTTTTTAAATGCAGCCCTAAATTAGTATCATTATTTTTGTGGTAGTGGTGATGGTGGTTATCCTTAAATAATGCCTACAATCACTACTTGCTTTTGGTTATTGAGTCCAATAGTTTTAAGTGGAAAAAAAAATTGGGAAATAGGATGGGTGGGGTGGTGAGGGAATCTTTGGACTAGATGGAAATCACATAGGATTTATCCAAAGTTCTAACACTGTGAGCGAAATTAATATTATACTATTATATTAATAACTATTAATTTATGATCCATCCTTTTCCTCCTATTTCTGTTATGACCCTACCCTTGAAGAGGTCAGTTAATCTAGGAAGGGCATGAATAAGTGATAGGATTACTCCTAGTCCCCAAGGCACATGCTCTTTAACCACCCAACTGGGCAACCCAATTTCTTTTTAGATTATAAATAGAATCCAGTAATCCAGTTGGGGTGAGCCCTTACCCTGGGGGAAGGAATCCCTGTCCTTGATCCCTTCCATCAGAGTTTAGTGTAACCCAGCTGATGAAGGAGAAAACCAGCCAGAGAAGTCCAGACAGAAAGGGCGTCCCCTGCCAAGATTTCCAGAGGCTACTGAGTCTTGGTCACAGCGGAAGGAGCTGAACACCCCTGTGGTTTTTGGTTACCCAAAGAAGCCACTGATCATAACCAATTAATTGATTATTAGCTAACTGAATTAACAAATTGATTATGAATAACCTGGAAACTCTGTCTTTTGGGGGATTTATTCACGACAGCTCAGCAGCTGATCCAAGTTTTCCCTAGCCCAGGACATACGTATCTCACACACACACACACACACACACACACACACACACACACACACACACACACGTACATACATACATATATATGACAAATTATATATACACATATATGTGTATATATACATATATGTGTATATATGTATATGCGTGTGTATAAATATGTATATGTGTGTGTATATATGTCTGTGTGTGTGTGTGTATATATGTATATATATATATGTATGTATGTATATATATATCTATATATATATATCTATATATATATAGATATATATATAGATATATATATATCTATATATCTATATATATATATCTATATATATATATAGATATATATATAGATATATATATATCTATATATCTATATATAGATATATATATATCCAAAGGAGATCCGCTAATTTGGTTCCTCCTGAGATCTGAAGGGAATGAGCTAGGCTTAGGAAATTTTGCCTCTCTTCTTCATTTTAGAATGACCTTGAATTACTTGTCTTTTCCAAGCCCAGAATTCATCTGTTACTAGTTTCCAACAACATCTTTGAAGATCTCAAAAATGCATAACATGGTCATTAAATTAGCAAAATACCTGCCGTTTGGTGGAGCCTTTGTGATGGGATAAAAAGATGTGGGAAGCAAGCCTTTGTGCCATAGGATTGTAAGAAGAAAGGATGAAGAGCTGGAGTGAGCTTCCGAGGCTGTCAAGTTCAGAATGCCCTGATTTTACAGGTGAACAAGCACACTTTAAGAGATTTACCTAAGCTCACACAGCTGATGAGTGATGGAGGAGGTACTTAGACACGTCCTCTGACTCCAAATTCAATGTTTTTCCATGCTAATCGACATAGCACTGTATCTTAAAATTCTTCTATGTACCTAATTCAGAATGGGTGACAGTCATCAGAAGAGATTAGATGGATCCCCTCAGATGGATGGATTTTAAGGCACCAACAGTCAGAAGAATTAACAGTGGCTAGAGATTGTAGTAGAAGAGGTGTTAGACTGACAGGGAGAAAAACTTCATAATAATCAAAGATAGTCCGAAACAGAGTAAGATGCCTCAGGAAATAGTGAGTTCCCATCACTTGGAAGTCAGCAAACTGGGACAAGACAGCTCATTGGCAGGGATTCTTGTTTAGGAAACAGTTGGACTTGATGGTCTCTTAGATACTTTCCTCTGAGATTCTGCAAATTTGCAGAAGGACTTCAGGACAAGTGAAGGGCTTGGGGTGTTTTTAACACAAAGATTATATCATTTTGAAAAATAAAAAGGTTTCTCCAAATGTTCCATTTAGAAAGGTCCGATTTATAAGAGAACTTCCTTGTGCCTCAATTTGAGATTGAGACTATCAATTCTCTTACTTCTAAAAACATAGAAATTGTCTCCACACGCGCGCATGCACACACTCACACACACACACACACACACACACACACACACACACACACACATACACAAAACACACAGAGGTTTTTTTTTTTTCTTTTTCCTCAGGGCATAGATAGATGGGAACAGAAAACGACAAAGCCAGAATGCACAGTGACACACTCATATTTTCAGATGTATAGATACTAGTTTAAGAAACTGCAAAATGTTAAAAAAAAAAAAAGGAAAACTAAATTTGAATTTGTAAAATAAACAGCAAGCTTCTCAAGGAGTCAACAAAATGTCCCGGGAGTGAAAGGTAATTATCAAATATTCATAACCTAAACATGTTCTTAACATGGAGGGGGAAGAAAGCTCATTTAAATAAAGGTAGGGAGCCAGAGTCCTCCAACGTGTCTGCCTCTCCTTTCTGTTCTAACATTTATTAAAACCTAAGTTTTCAGTTTTTTTTTTTAAACCATTTTATTATGTGGTTTAACTAGAGTGATTTCATGATCCCCGGAGATGCCTCGCCAATTTGTGATAAGTGGCTGATCATTCCTGCTCAAATGGAATTTTTAAGTAACTTCAATTATGATTATATTTAGATTTGTAGAACCACTTCTTGGATTCCTTAGACAAACGCTGCCCCAAAATACCAGAAGTGCATTGAGGGCCATTTTGGCTATGAGACCCAGGAAAGGAACTGTGCATTCAGATAAGTGAAGAAGGCACGTGTGTGCGGGAGGACAGGAAGCAAAAGGTATTTTCTTCCCTTTAATAATAATAGGAAGAAGATATAAGATTTATATAGCACCTACGATGTGCCAGGTACTGTGCTAAGCGCTTTATAATTATCTCATTTACTCTTCATGCCAACCCTGAGAAGTAAGTGATATTACTATGCCCATTTTATAATGAAGAAACTGAAGCAAACAGAGGTTAACTGACTTGCCCAGCATCACACAGCTCATAAGTGTGTGACGGAGAATTTGAATTCAGGTCTTCTTGATTCTCAGGCCAGTGCTCTAACCACTGGGTAGCCTAGCTGCCTCTCTGTCTTTTATACAAAGCCTTTTCTGATTTCCTTCCCCAGTTGTTATCACTTCCTTCCTCCAGAAATTACTTTTTATAACTTTTGCCTATATATATATTTTTTAATTTAATTCTCCACCACTGTCATTTTTTTTTTACTCTAAGTAGAACAATAACTCCACAAGGGCAGTGTATTTGTATCCTGTCCCATGCTTGGAACATGTCCAGCAAGTGATGCTAGTTACACGCGGTCATTTACTGACTTGAAATAAAATGGCGCCTAGCCCCCAAAGTTCTTCTTCTTATAACTGTCTTACTATTTTTTTAAGAAGCGACTCCCTCAAGATCAAGAATTCCAAAACTTCACTAGAATTACACAAGATACAATATTTTCTCTTGTAGAATATAGCTTCTTGATTTTAGGGGCTTCTTTTTCCCCCCTTTCAATTCGCAGTGCCCAGTACAGTTCTTTACAAGTAGTAGATGCTTAATAAACGCTTATTGAAATGACTGTAATAACCTGAAAGTTAAAAAAAAAATGAAAACAGTTAATGGAGGTGGTAATCCTTCAGCTCATCACTGAAGCCAGGGCCACTACCAGAAGTAGGGGCCCCTTTTCTTCCCATATCAGTATAATCAACAGAGCACTGTTTCACATGAAAAAGAAATTTTCCTCTAACATTATCAATTGAAAAAATGGACACATTTTTCAAGATGCAAGAATAAGAAATCAACGACCTAATCAATGACCTACCAGATACAGCAAGGAAGTCATCGATGCTTGTGATGTCATCTACTGCTTCAGTGAGGACATGGATGTGGTTCTCCCACAGGCGTTTATACATGTCCATGTTGGATTTTACCGCCTGGCTTTTGGGTCGGGCAGTGAGAGCCAGGGCTGCGTTGATCACCTGGGGAATGCAAAATGCAACACACTGTTACTATGTAGGATAGTTACTGATATCTAGGAGACGCCTGGGATTTCATCTTTCAAAACAGAATAAATCATTCTGTTTAGGGGTATAGTTATAGTGGATTGCTAGCAAAACACTTGCTTTACAGAGGAATTTTGACGCTTGCAAATAAACTGGCCCGGGAGAGAAGTCAGAGTAGAATCCATTTTTAATTTAAAGTTCTCTTAGGAAGCAGTGGAAGCTGGGAGGGATGTCATGCTAGGAAAGTCAACATGAACACTCAGTGAAAAGTACTCTTTGCCTCAGCTTCTAGCAAGATCTAGGCAAGGCCTAGGCTTCTGCAAAAATCACACACATGCACATACACTCACATATATGCTCACACAAGCACATGTACACACATACACACTGAAATGAAAAGCTTTCCTCTAGATACTTAGATCCCCAAATCCAAGGCTGGGAATGAGGGGAGATTTCTAGAAAATGTTGGGGGCGGGGGGAGTGTCATTCACTGTGCTGCATGAGGCATAGCCAGGATTCTCTGTGGGATAGACCATCTCCTCATACCATTACTACAGCTAGTCACAAGTGTCATGTAAAAGCCTCCTAAAAAGGCCAAGGAACGCCCAAAAGAAGAGATAATGAGGTCCTCCTATATTCCCTGAGTACATAAGTATCTCTACTCCCTCCTGTTCTTCAGGGTTCTTTTCCCTTTGCCCCATTTCTCTTGGCATCAACATTTCTATTTATGGCTGTGATAGGGTGTGCTAATACAATATCTTGTAAAAAGATGATGAGTTAAGTTCTCACCAAGTTTTCAATTTTGCAAGTCCCTCAGGTGGAGGTATATAGTGGGAAATTCTGGGATTTCAAGACTGAAACTCTGGAGATAGAGGTTTGAGAGCACTGACTGAGAGGCTTTTGGAGTGGGTAACGTCTAAAAGTTTAGAAAGAGGAGCTGTGAGGAATGTTGGTATTTCTCAGGCTAGATGAAGAAGCAGTGTTGGAGGAGGTAGAAAAGGAGAGCTCACAGAGCTGGAAAGAAAACCAGGGTAATGCCAAGCTCTGCAAACAAAATGAGATTTACAAAATGTAATGACATACAATAAGGCAGCGTGGAATAGCAGGGGTGGGAATCTGCTGCCTTGAGGCCACATGTGGCCCTCTTAGTCCAAAGGGCAGCGCTTGAGGACCTAGAGGGTCACAAGTGGTCTCCAGGCCACAGGTTCCCACTCCCGGCATAATGGATAGGGAGGTCATTTTGTGATTCAGTACACACATAGGAAGTCAGATCTTGCTTCTACTATTTGCAGAGCTATGTGTTCCTGGACTAGTCACTTAACCTCAGTGCCTCAGACAGGTCTCCAGTATTATAACTCACCAATTAAATATTGACTTTCAATGGCTTGTAAGGAGGTTTTCTCATTAGGAGTTGTATTTACTAATGAAATCCCAGGTCCAGCCCTACCCACCTTCTTAAAAAGAAAATCCTACAGTGGAAGATAATACAGAGGTATCAAGGCTCACCAGAAGTGACAAAAGGACATTGGCTTTGTTGATTTCATTAAAAAAAAACTGAAAAAGAAATTCTTTCTGCTCATTAATTTCAGGGATGTGCCTGGCTCTCTACAGTTTATTGGGAGCAGTAGAAGCTAGGAACTGGAAGCAGAAAAAATATTATTTTAATATTCTATTCCTTTTGGCAAGAGAGGAAGGCATTAAATTTTAAAGAAATGAAGACCAAGTTCATAAGCAAATGCTTTGTCACACACCTTGTCTCTTTGGCTTCAAATGTTTATGAGCCTATTAACTTATGGTAAAAACACATGCACTCTGTGATAGTTCTGATCCCTGGGGCTTCATTGGTCTTGCCATGAGGCAGCCATGAGTACAAGGAGTTGGGGGGAAATGGCATCCAGAAACAAGTTTGTTTTTCAAATCCTGGTAAGGAACAATCAGTGGGAATATGTATTAGAGGAGCTGGGGCTGCTTACATTTTCTTAGAAAATTTTCAATCCTCCCACTGATTTAATTTACCTGACACAAATGACATTATAGCAGGAAAAGAATAGCTTTTTTTTTTTGATGCTCTGCTGTTTAGTGAAAACCTAAAATCAACCTCTGCTCCCCAGATGAGGTAATATGCTTCAGGTCTAGAGCAAATTCTAGTGCTGGATCTCGGCCTTACTTTTTTTTCTACTGTGTATTTGAGAGGAAAAAGTATATGTATACATACACACACAAACACACATATGTATGCATTCATATGTATGTGAATCTGGGTGTATATGCATGTATATATACACACATAAATGCATACACATGGACACATATGCATGTATATATGTGCGTGTGTGTGTGTGTGTGTGTGTGTGTAAAACAGACAATTAAAAATACAAAGACATTTAAAAATGGAGGGAGGACAAAGCAAGCAAGTCTCTCATTCTTATATTAAAACAATGATTATTATATTTTATAAGTAATTTAAATGTTAGAGTTTTGATTAGAGATTTACTCACTAGAAGTTTTGAGTATTTGTTGATTTCAACTCAATTCACCTGAATTATACCTATTACTTGCCTACCAGTTGCAAGGATTAGAGAAAAGCCCTAAGGATTGCCGTCAAAATAAAAGGCCCTCAAAGGACTTATGTTTTGCAGGAACGTTGAAACAAAAACATCAAAATTTAAGGTGAAACAAGTGGTCAACTACATTGTCTGCTGAAGAGTAGGAAGAAGGTGTGAATAGTAAGTCTACAATAATATAGATGAATGAAGGATGATGCCCAGAAATGAAAGCAGCACCCACAATTAGACAGTAAAACAATTCCATTCCTTCTTTGTGAACACTGTCTCACTTTAGGAAGCCAAAAAAAATAGCCCAGGAAAAGTCTGACCACATAAACTAAGGTTAAACATTTATAATTGTGGATTTAAAAAAAAAAGAGGCTCAAAATTATGTGGATTGTTTCCCTTATTTTAAACAAGCAATACACTCTTCATTAAAATTCTCTCCTATTTTTGAAATGATAAATGATCACAGGCTTTTTTGGTAATATTTCATCTGAGTCCATCAGTGCAAAGAAGATGAAAAAATACCATTAGGAAAAAATAGTAGCATCCACTGAGGAAATTTATTTTAATACTAAAGAAAGCTTAATTATTTAAGGACAAAGGCTGAACTCTAAGTGCCCCCCCCTTCACAGATCTACTCTTACATATGCATACTTGGTAGTTTCAAATATTTAGCAGCTTTGCATTTATTTGTATTGATTCGTTTTGCATTTCTTCTTTATGCCCACCCTTACCAAGTCCCCCATCAGATTATAAACACCTAGAAGGTAGATATTGGTTTATTTACTGCATTTGTACTACAAGCACCTAATATAAAAGGGTACTTAATAAATTGTTGTTGAGTGACTGACTGATAGTTTGCAAGAGGAAGAAAATATCTGTGTACGTATGTGTGTGCATGTGTGCACGTGTGTCTCTGTGTGTATAGAATGAAGGGGTAACTGTTATTTTCAAGTACTTAAATGATGATCATAGAGAAGAAAGATAAGACCTGTTCTGCTTGGCTTCACAGGGCAGATCTTGGGAACAATGAGTAAAAGCAGTAAAGAGGCATATTAAGATATCTGTCAGTCAACTCAGTAAATAAACTAACATTTATTAAACACCTACTATGTGGTAGGCACTGTGCTAACTGCAGACTAAAATGCTGTGAACACTTAAGCTATACAAAAATGTAATGGGCTTCCTCTGGGGCTAATGGGCTTGCCAGTTGACATCCTAGATTACCATTTGTCTGAAACGTTACAGAGGAGGTCCTACTGAGGTATACATTAGACTAATTGCCCTCTTGGGTTCCTTCCAACTCTAATATTCTGTCTTTTTTTTTTTTTTATAATTTCTCTAGACTTCAATTTCCTAGAAGAGCACAAACTCTTTGGTGTCAAAGGGTTATTTCCAGATCAAAAGAATTTCTGTGATTCTACTATTATCCACATGCTTTTATGATTCTATTCAATGAAAGTTTTCTGAAAACATTTCTTTTGGATAGTGCCAATAAAATAATTTAACCTGGCTATTTCCTAAAGAAATCTTAAGGGTAACATTGACATAAATTCCCTTTTCAGACAAAATTAAGATAATAAAATCAATATTTAGGATAAAAATATGGATCCCCTATTGACTTAAACTGAAATTCATTAGAAGTGGAAGAAACCTTAGACAATGCCTAATGTAATTCATAGAGATATGAATTTAGATTTTATGTTAGGGCAAAAAATACATATACACATATACATACATGTATGCATACATATATTAGAGAATATATTGCATATGTTTATATATACATGCGTATATGGTATGTATATGCATGTATATATTCATTTAAGGGTATATACAGACATATATGTACACACATGCATATGTACGTGTATTTATACATATGTGTGTATGTATGTATTTCTAATAAGAGCCATCCAAAAGTGGAGAGAAGGTTGCCCCAAGAGTAATGGATTTTCCCTCACCGAATCAAAGGATGACCACTTACTGAGTATGTCGTAGAGGACATATAGGTTAGAACTGATGGCCCTAAGGTCCCTTCTAGTTCTTTAATCTGTGACTAGAGCATGAGGTAAGCCCTCTGACTTTTATAGATCCATAAAATGATGCCCATTAAACAGTCTCCAGGTCACAGGATGAGTTCAAAGAAAGGGCTCTTTCCAAAGGCAAGCACTGTTTATGTTTTGTTTTTGTATCTTCAAGTATCTCAAACAGTGCCTGACACATAGTAGGTGCTTAATGCACAGCTGAATGATTGATTGTAAAATTTAGCAAGACCCAATATGCAGAGAGGAGCCAATCTAAATTCATACACAATTTTCCACTATGCCTAAAATGCTTCTGTATATCCAAAAGGAAATATCAGTCATGGCTGGTTGGGCTCATTTCACTTCTTTTGCACGTTTTACCCTCTCCATATCTGTT